CCAAACACACCCGAGGAAAAGCAACTTAAACAATGACCAACTTTTTTGACGCACATTGTTTGAAACCGATGGACGAAAATGAATTGCTTTGAATATATTCATATATAGATATTATATATATACACAGCAGAGTACAACCGTGATAAAATGTTAGCAGTAAATTAGCTCATCATGCTACTTGAATGAGATCGATATTCTTAAAAAAAAACAAAAAAACGTTCAAACACATCATGAAACCACCGGACATGTTGACGTAACTACCCAAAAATTATGTAGAAATGTAACTTCTGCTTTAAAAAAAGTTTCCATAAAGGCCTATGTATATATATTTGGCTTTCTGGGGCTGGGCTTACGGTCTGGGGTAGAAGCGGAGCTGGAGCTGGGCTGTAGCTCTGAGTCTCTGCTGGAAAAGGGGCTGTCACCAGGTGGTGCTCTTTGGGCTTTCGTCCCCTCCTCTTCCCAGGCACTACGTTTTTCATGTCCTTCTGTAAGCCATTGCTCTCTGGCTCTTTTTTCTTGTTGTTGGTCACCTCGTTGGTAGACGCCCGAAACCAGTTCTGTGCACATAAGGCCACATCAAGTTCAAAAAGGAACTGATAATCAAGGACTATTAGTGAATTTGCATTAATTTTTAGAAGTATAACATTTTAGAAGGAAAATATTCATCCCTAGAGACCCCTTGATAAAAAATTCAAGTTAGCAACGTTTTTGTGTACTAAAAACTGAAACTAAGGTACGAAAAATATAAGAACAGGTAATATGAAACTATTTCTGTAATACTCGAACGATAAAGTGCTTCACACACAAATCAATCATAGATGTGTTATAAATATAATATAAAATATATAAATCCCACACATTACTCAAGTTCACATCATCACAAATATTTTAATGAACAACGTCTTGCTTGTAAGGGAAGGTCGATTAACTGAAACTTTGCTCATTAAAATATTTTTTTGTGATGATGCAAACTTGTGTAGTGTGCAGAATTTATATTTTTCAATATAGCTGTAATAAAATAATCTTCATATGACGGCAAAATGTTGTGACCTTTGTTAAAACATTAACTCCAACCTGCACATGCCTATATAGCGGATTTATTAGCGAGTTAACTTAAGGATTTAACCGATTTTCTGCAAAATCCAATCCTTCCGGTCAATTTTTACAATCTATTCAAAAATATAAAAGTCCATAAATGAAAAGTCAATTTAATTCAAATGTCTTGGTTATTTTAGATAATTCTGAAAACGTTCTGATAATCAGATTCCTCAATAACTGAACTTAAAACCAAAACTAAAATAAATCAAAATCAAAAGAATTAGGTCTATAAAATAAAAACTAAAATTAAAAGCTAAAAATAAAAGTTAAAATTTAATGTAAACTATAAACTTATAAAACTTAGGAACTAATGAAAATATTATTAAAATAAAACTATATTTCTCTGTTTCAATGGATTTTAAAGAAACTAAAATTTACTGTACATGACAGTGACCTTTTTTTTTTTGGCAAAGTCTTGTCTTGTTCATTCATATTGAACTTGGTGTGAACGGGCCTTAAAGGGATAGTTCACCCAAAATTAAAATTCTGTTATCAGCCATTGACTTCCATAGTGTTTTTTTCTGTACTATGGAAGTCAACAGCTACCGTCAATTGTTAGGTTACCAACATTCTTCAAAATATCTTCTTTTGTGTCAAACAGAAGAAGGAAACTCATACAGGTTTGAAACGAGTGGAGGGGGATTACTTAAATTTTTGGGTGAACTGTCCTTTTAGCAGTCAACATTTCTTAATACTAGAAGACTATGAAGGGCAAGTGCTCAGCTTCATTTGCTAAGCATACAGTACACGGGTTTAGTGTTTGCTTTACCTGAGAGTGTGTCTTGCTGATATGGTACTTCACGCCACTCTCAGAGTTAAACTCCTTCTGACAGAGCAAACAAGTGTACTTCCCTACGTCGCCCCCTCCCTGTGCGGAGAACAATAACAGCAGTGAAGCTGATACAGTATCAGCAATATCTGAGATCAAATATGTACAGCAGTTTAAATGATCTATAATTAATTAACTACAGCAAAGCATGCAGAGGTTTTTTTATACCTTGTTACAGCTTGCCAAGTGCGCTTTAAGTCCAGATACACTTGAGTAGATAGCCTCGCAGTTCTGTTATGAAATCAAGAGAGACTTGAGGAGAAGAACTGAGCAACAAAAATGTCAACATTTTTTAAACAACTTTCAAGAGCTCTTCAGGTTCTCCAACAAACCTACATCTACTGATATCATTCAGATGTTCATATTGAGGTTGGAATCTGTTACTGAAGCACTAGCAGCTGTGAAAGTCAATGTTTGGTCAGAAATACAAGACAGATACTTACACAATTGGGGCAGCAGATAAATCCTTTTTCCTTCACCTCGTTCTTCCAGCTGTTCACAGTTTCAGGGCTAAAGTTGGGGAGACCTGGTCGTGTATAGTTGAGCTATAACAGAAAGTGTGTACATAGAAATGAAAAAATAAGCAGTGTATATGAGTAACTACCAAAATTTAGAAACACTACTGACTTCATTTTTTAGTAGCAAGATACTGACTAAGGCAACTTGTTTGGCAATAAGTAGCGGAAAAGAGAGACAAAACATTTCAATTAAGTAGTACCTCTGCTTCAATGATAAAGTAAATTTAAAATAAATATTTAAAGTTTTATGCTATTTATATATGCTATGTAAAATTATATGTTATATGCTACTGTTTATCACTACACTTTTTCTAGGATTGTCAAACGATTCAAATGAACTGCACATCAACTTTCAAAGTCATAATTGTGTTAAATGAGAAGAGCAATTAATAGACATTACAAAAAGCTTTAAAAAGAAATATTTTGATTCAAAATTGCATGAATAATTTCAATAAATGGCTATTAATGAGTTTTTTTTTAATACTGAAACATGAAATTATTTTGTTTTAAATAATCGATTTTCTCAATGTGAAACAAAAACAATCAGTAGGTGGCGGAGAGTCTTAATGAGCGAGTCATTTATTCATTCATTTAACCAATTTGTTATTTTCCCCATAATTAATCACATCAAATTAACAAGTTAAATCAACAGCCCTAATATTTTCATAGTCTTTAAAGGGTTAGTTCACCCAAAAATGAAAATTCTGTCATTAATAACTCACCCTCATGTCGTTCTAAACCCAAAAGACGTTCATCTTCGGAACACAAATTAAGATATTTCTGATAAAATCTGAGAGCTCTCTGACACTCCATAGACAGCAAGGGTCCTAACACGATCAAGGTCCAGAAACATAGCAAGGACATCGGTAAAATAATCCATGTGACATCAGGGGTTCAACTGTAATTTTAGGAAGCTACGAGAATTCCTTTTGTGTGCAAAGAAAACAAAAATAACGACTTTATTCAACAATTCTTCTCCTCATGCCATCTCATCTAAATATAAACAACGCATGCGCATGCTGTCCTCGACGCGTAAACAAGGCACAAGCGCATTCAACGTAAGCAGCAGCATGTGCATACGTTGTTTACATTTAGAGGAGACGGGATGAGGAGAAGAACTGTTGAATAAAGTCGTTATTTTTGTTTTTTCTTTGCGAACAAAAAGTATTCTCGTATCTTCGTAAAATTATGATTGAACCGGTGATGTCACATGGACTATTTTACCGATGCTACGTTTCTGGACCTGGGAACATTTCAGTTGTGTTGCTGTTTATGGGAGGGCCAGAAAGCTCTCGGATTTCATCAAAAATATCTTAATTTGTGTTCTGAAGATGAACGAAGATCTTACGGGTTTGGAACGACATGAGGGTAAGTAATTAATGACAGAATTTTCATTTTTGATTGAACTATTCCTTTAAGGAAATATAAATTAAAATTGATGCTGTTAAACTTATTGATATCTGTTTTGTTTTGTATAAATACTGTTAATAAACAAATCTCAGATTTTTTAAAATAATTTGCTTAATTTGACAATTTACATTTGTAAATGTAAACGTATTGTAGCGGCAACACTTTAGTATAGGGACCAGTTCTCACTATTGACTACTGTAGTTGCTTATTAGCATGCCTATTAATACAATTTTGGTTGTTTATTAGTACTTATATAGCACATATTATGCATGACCATATTCTACATCCCTAATTCTACCCAATACCTAAACTTAACAACTACCTTACTAACTATTAATAAGCAACAAATTAGTAGGCAAAAGTCATAGTTAATGGTTTGTTAATAGCGAGAATTGGACCTTAAAATAAAGTGTGACCAGTGTAGCATTTTCAAAGTGACTTCAACACTGCCATACCCTCTTGATGTCTGGTACGAGGTCATCTTTGATGCGTCGTTTGGTGCCCCAGTCTTTGGCCAGCTCGTCCTCTGCGATCTCCTGCAGGTGGAACACCGCCACCTGAGCCGAGCGCCGGCGCACCCTGCCACTGGGTGTCCTCTCCAAATCCAGCAGCTCCTCCACCTCTGTTTTCTCCTCCTTCCTCTCCTCCATCTTCTCCACCGGCTCGTCTACTCTCTCCTTTGCCTTCTCTCTGCCCTTTATTTGCACAGGTTCTTCCTCTTCCTCTTCCTCCTCCTCCTCCTCTTCTTCGTCCTCCAGCACATCCTCCTCATCTTTACTGTCTTCCTGTTTCCAGTCCTCAGCTGTGAGCTAAATGTGGTGATATAACAAACATCTGGATTAATTACTCAGTAACATGATCAATAACATGACACTGGTCGTGACGTTTTTCCACACAATGTTAGATTAGCAGTATGACGTGTAGCGTGGCTGTGTATTCTCACCGAGTGTGTGGACAGGGCGGTGACGGGATGCTCGGTGCGCAGGTGGTAGTCACGGCCAGCTTTTGAGCGATAGGTCTTACCACAGTGCTGGCACAGGAAGACAGGCTTCTGTCCATCTGGCAGCTCTCTGCCACAGCGTTTCTGATGATACTGATAACCCATCAGACTGGAGAAATGAGCTGAACAGCCCTGTTTGACACAGAATCAAACATACTTCATTATTTCACTCATTGATCTGTGGGCTGACAGTCTGGGTTACACCGTTCCTTTGAAGGGGCCTGTTTGTTAACACAAACTACATTTACATACTTAGGGCCAGATTTACTATCAGCTTGTGCCAGTGCAAACCCTCGTTTGGCGTAAAAAAAAACCTACTGTCAGGATTTACTAAAGACACACAGTGGGAAATAGCGCTGAAAAGGCGTGGACATGGTTATTTTTGCTACTCACCTTATTGAATATGCATTTGTAGGAGTTTCCCTTTCGATCGGTAAATTTATGTGAGGAGAGTATTTAAATGAATCACGCAATGTGATTTAATAAGATTTGTGCTCGTCAATTCACTGGTACAGCAGGTAAAATAAGTATTGAACACGTCACCATTTTTCTTTAATTAATATATTTCTAAAGGTGCTGTTGACAACAGACGTCAATAACAACCCAAGTAATCCATACTTAAGCCCTATTTGCACGGGATTAGTATTATCTGGGGAACTTGTGTGATTTTGAAATTATTTCGAATTTCGTGTGGTGCATTCGCACGGGATAAGCGAAGCCTGTGATTTTAGTCGAATTTACTCTAACTTATCTCCCAGGTATGATGTCAAGGCTTGAGAGTCCTGTTCTATGGTCCGATTAGATGTATTAAAAAAAAAAAACTAATATAGTGTAGTACCCTGTGTCATTTACATTTCACCAGGTTAAAATAATATCTTTATATATAATAATATGTAACACATTAACCTCAAAACCTTTTCAGCTTTCTCTTTCTGCAAATTGTATGGTGTAGCGATATGACGTACAGCACCCACAATTACTATCAAACACTCCAACGTAGCTCCATTCTTCGCGAAAGATGGATAAAAAATGCGCACAGGAAACAAAAACCTCGAAAAATTATATACGACCCGCCAAATGCTGGCCAAATCACAGAGATGCCGATTTGCAAGGAACTAATATTATCACAGGACCTCGGTGTTCGGCGAAATATGGTAGGTCATTTGCGGGGGAATTTTTACTTTACAGACATGGCCTATTCGCACGGGATTAAGATCACAGACAATCTCCGCAATTATTACAAATGACTGAAGGTCAACAGGTAATACTAATCCCGTGCGAATAGGGCTTTAGAAAGAAAACAAAACAAATAAGTTCAGAAATTAAGTTCTGTGTAATAAAGTGGAATGACACAGGGAAAAGGTATTGAACACCTGTAGAAAGGGAGGTGCAAAAAGGCATGGAAAGCCAAGACACCAGCTGAAATCTATCAGTGATTAGAAAGCAATCCTGCCCCTAGTCAGTGGAAATTAATATTTGCTGTTTCAGTCCCAACACCTACAGTACCAGGATGATGAAGATGAAACAATGGTGGACATTTCAGTAAGACAATGATCCCAAACACAGCCAAGGAAACTCTCAATTGGTTTCAGAGAAAGAAAGTAAAGCTGCTAGAATGGCCAGCCAATCACCTGACTTGAATCCAATAGAAAATAAGAACTAAAGATCAGAATTCATAGAATTAGCATAATTCATAGAAGCCCACGGAACCTTCAAGATTTGAAGACTCTGTGGAAGAATGGGCCAAAATCACACCTGAGCAATGCATGCCACTAGTTTCTCCATACAGCAAGCGTCTTGAAGCTGTCATTACCAACAAAGGATTTGAACAAAGTATTAAATTTTAATTTCAGTGATACAATACTTTTTCCCTGTGTCATTCCATTTTGTTACACATAACTTAATTTCTGAACTTATTTGTTTTGTTTTATTTGTAAGTATGGATTACTTGGGTTGTTACCAACATCTGGTGAAAATTTCATGAAAACAGCACCTTTAGAAATATATTTACTGAGAAAAATGGTGACATGTTCAATACTTATTTTACCCGCTGTATTTGTGGCATTATTTAATGCCCCAAAAAAGCATGTCTTAAAGCAGGTGGTATTTTGCGCTGCTCTTGGTAGATTGCGCTGGCCATTTTGGAAAAGATCTGGCTGTGTCTGTGTTCTTTAATGTGCACCTTATCAATAAATCACACGCAGAATTTTTCCCTTCCCATCGGCATATTCACGTTCTGATTTTGCTGAGTTAGATGTGTTCTAGGTCAACATATTTTGTTGACCCTGGAACAACGTTTTAATCCAAAAATGTAGTCTTGACCATATCCCTACACCTAAACCTAACCTTAACCATGAGTAATCCTTAAAATCAGAGGAAATTATGAATGACACTGATGAATGATAGATGAATGATACAAACACCAAACACTGATTGTAAGCCTAAACTTCACAAAAACTATAAACTCATTCCTCAGATCTGATTGGTTAATCACAATGTTGTTCCAGGGTCAACAAAAATGTTGATCCAGGAACATGTCACACTTGGTAAAATCAGGTTCTGCATTGCGCTAATTTGCCCTGTTTAGTAAATCTGGCCCTTAGTGACAAATAAGCAATTTTTTTCAGGAATGTTCTCATCTTCTTCCCCCCACTTTCTATTTCTCTTCTCATCACTTTCTCCACACATACTCATACTGTAGTAATTGGAACCAGACTGCTCTGCTGAAAAGACCAACTTAAAAAGAATTTCCAAGCTGGTTAGTGCTGGTCTAGCTGGTGAACCAAATAAAAACATGCTTACAGACACACAGACAGAGACATAGATGGACAGACAGGTAGGCAGACAGATATGTAGATAGGTAGAAAGAGAGATAGATAGACAGACAGACAGACAGACAGACAGATAGACAGATAGATAGATAGATAGATAGATAGATAGATAGATAGGTCTATTAAAATATAAATAAAAAGCAGAAGACAGACAGACAGAGACAGACAGACAGACAGACAGACAGACAGAGACAGACAGACAGACAAACAGACAGCTGAAATGTGCACAAGAAGACAAAAGTCAAAACTGAGAAAGTGAGAGACATAAAGTAGACAGAAATGAGGACAGCCAGTGGCGTCTAGGGAGACAGACAGACGGCAGGCACCAGTGACAAATTCCTACCTCACTGGGACATTTGATTCGGCCCATCTGTTTGAGGACGCAGCGTAGCCTCTCTCTCTCCTCCTGCTCCTCCTCCGACACATTTTCACTCGCCGAGGGCTTACAAATGGGAAACAAATACAATGCAACACATCAGTGTCTTTCCAGAAACTCTTCCTCAAGTCTTTACAACAGTATGTTTCCAATCACTGCTTTCTGAAAGCCAGATGCCTTTATAGAGGGGCATTTACTCAAGGCGTGTTAACAGCAATGCTTTTCACAGCACTGTATTTGGTCTGTTAAAAACATCAGCAGGGGAAATGAGACATGAGCTATCTAAACAGGATGCCAGACACCTCAACACAGCACCTGAGGGTAAACACTAAGTTTGAGATACAACTTCAATTCTGTACTGAAAAAAATTAACTCGCAGACTGTTAAACCAAAATATGTCAGTGCTAACACCCATAGGCACTCAAAACACGGAGAGCTGATAATGGAGAGGGTTAAATGATGTGTGAGAGATACTGCATCACCTGGCTACAGTATATCACCCTGCAGCTCTCAATGTGAATCAAGTGAGCCAATGATTCAATGATTTATTCATGAAGACAGTCATTTGCTTTGTTTCTGAATGAATCAGCCATTTGAATAAATCAGTTATATGAATGACTGAATGACTCACGCGTTAACAGTGACTTGCCGTCACCTAATGGTGGTTTTACTTTCATATTTACAGTATCATTTCATTCATTTATTTTTTTGATATTTCAATAATCAGGTTTTCTAAAAAAAAAAAAAACATTAATGCCCATTTAAATCCCATTAATTTCATAGCATTATTTATGCAATAATAATTGCAGTGTAAATGCATTCATGCCACCTCTGTGTTAATATACCCAAATGCTACTTCACATGCAGCTTCTGAAAAAAAAAATTATGGCTACATTGTAGCCTTAAAAGTTTGTGTGTAATAAATCCTATGTTGAATGAAAATATTTATTTCTAAAGCTTTTTAATGCCTAAAAAACACAATAATGACTTTTGGGCGATAATTTTCAATTGATGTGTGAATAACTTGCAATTAATGTAATTATTAATTTGATAAATTAATTTTAATTGCTTGACAGCCCCAGTCAAGAATTTAAATAAAAATTATCTTAATATCTTAAAATAATAATTCTGATCTTACTTAAAATATATATTTAAAAAACACAGCAAATCAAGATGTAAACTGAAATAATACTAATTTTCCCCTCAATAACTAGTGTTTTTAAAGAAAAACAAACAGTTCTAGAAATTTCTGGAGGCAAATAATTGATCATGATTAATTAATTTAGTATATCAATACTCCCAGTTTCTGTTAATAAAAAGCAGCGTTGTCATAATTACAGCAGAAATATAGAATATTATGTTGTACATCGGGAGAACTTCTACAAAATCATTTTGATCCAAAAAAAGTATTCTATATCTTAAAAATTGTTGGGCAGATGTTACGGCAGTGATGCCACCTGAAGCAAGAACAAGTGTAGTCACAAGTATTATATTATTATTTATAATATAATGTGTAGTTAGTCTAGAGAAAGTCCAGTTTTAAAGAATAATTTTTTTGGCTTCCGTTTCCATTTTTTTTATTTTCAGGCCAAGTGTGTCCAGACGTTTCGCTTTCGGTCTATAATGTTAATTTTATTGAATCACAAATTCTTTTAAATATTTTGTTTTTAACTACCTACGATAACCAGCCCTGAAATCACTTTACACGTTTGTCGTTCTCTTCCTGTCAAAGTGGGCGGATCCTGGCTAGAATAAGCTGCAATGTGGCCCAGACCTTATGCTGATTCTCAAATGTTTGGCTCAGTGAGACTCAGCACCTGGCTCAAATAACAAATCACAGACCTAAATGCACATCCTCATTAATGTTTCATACTGTTTCTAAGACATTTGGTCATGCATAATTTAACACATTTCATTGGAAATATTGTTTGCAGCTAATGCTTGAGCTTGGCAGATGGCGCTTACATCCTCATGGCCCTCTTTAACCAGCGTTTCTCTCTCATGTTTTTACACTAAACCTCACAAGGGTCATCATTATGGGATGTGCCGTTCCTATTCAGATGTTGGCTGAATATGACTGGAAAAAAAACAGATCAACTTTACTCATAAGGCAGATTACCATGATTTGCCGTGGAGAGAGATTACTGTCAGGAAAGCTGATGATTGTTGAGGAAATTATTACTGTACAGAAATAAGGCTGGGGAACAGGAGACAATCATTACAGTTGAAATACTGCTTGAAGACTGTTTTAAAAGGCATTACTAGATGTGCGCTAGACCTTTTCCCATATGTACAGTTAATGGTTAGAGCCTAATGGATGCTTTAGGTCTTAAAGTGATGCTGGAGTATAGAGATGGTGTCAGATATAATAGAGATTAGCTGCTCTCTGTAGTGGTCACTGTATGTAATATTAAACACTGTTCTTCTGCACATACTGTACACAGCTCCACTAGTTTATTAAAGATATTAAAATGCTATCGTTTCAGATCTTCTCGAGTCCCTTGGGGAAAAGAATTGCGCTTAATTGTATTAAATGTACATTTACAGTATATTTTTAAACTTATACTTGCAGATAATATAATTTTAATGAAATAAAATGCCATTTAAGTGTACTTAGAGAGGGTTTACTTATATGTTTCATAACGCACTTAAATACACATTTAAAAAGTGCACTTTGTAATATGTCAAATTAAAAGTTTTAAAGTACAGTTCATTTTAAAACATTGCATCAAAACATATTTTGCCATCTTTTAAAGTACACTTATTTTGATGTGTTGACTACATAACGTTGACGAGTAACATGTAACATGTTAACGCACATGTAAAGTACTTGATATAAATTTAAATGTAGTGTTTTTTATATTACATTTAAAGTTAATATATTTTAAATGTGCTAAATTACAATTTCAATATTACAACTGTGTAATTACAAAAATATTTTAATGCGTGACATACAAATTTTAATGGAAATTACATTAAAGTATATTTTAGTTTACTATAAATGCCTGTCAGAACAGATATGGCAGTACACTTTAACCATATTTCAAAGACAACACAAGTAATTATGATATTTTGTTTAAAGATTTATTAAAAAACACTCTTAAGTTCATCTAATTGCATTTAATATAAATGTAAACTATAATACATTTTAATTTAATTGTGTCTGAAAACATTACATTTGGTTCACACTTTTTCCTTTAAATTATATTATTTCCATAATAGTACCCTTTTTAAAAGTATGCTGAAGTGTACTTTTTCATAAGGGAGTAAAAGGCTCAGCGTGAAGAGAAAGAACAACACATTTCATGAGAGTGAATGTTTCATTCATATACAGAAAAGCTGATGTTAAAAGTGATGCAATTTTAATTGTTTAAATGATTTATACATTGTATTTCAAATCATAGATTTTCATCTGTTTTGACATCTAGGAGATGAGCTCTGCTATGGATCTGCAGTCAATTCTTACAAAAAGCTAAAGTAAAATGTGTCCTGGCACCGCCGCTCACCTTAATGTGGTCAGCCATGCTGTGGTAATTGAGTCCAGCTTTTGATCGGAATTGTTTCTGACACTGCTGACATTTCAGAGCGTCCCGCAGCTACAAGAAAAAGACCACAGTTTAGGATGTCCACCTCAAATATCATGAAATCATGGGTTATAAATGTGACATTTTATATTTGATGTTCCAGTTACAATAATACAAACGGCAAACTATGTATTTTTACCCTTGAAGCAGTCAACTAATAAAGTAATGTACAAATAAAGCATTTGTAGGATTATTCTTCTGAAAAGCATTGAAATATTCCCTACCAGCCCCACATGACAACTGTGACTGTTGACAATGACGTGAATTCAGTTCAAAGGCATAATGGCCATTGATTTTTTTTATTTTTTTTTATTTTGTGTGCCGACAAAAATGTCACAAAAATTACACACTTGACCTTTAATACTAAAACTTTTACACACTTAAAAAAAACACGGTGATGAAAAGAACTATTCAAAATTAAGAACTATTTATTTTAAAAATGCAATGCAAAAAAATGTAAATTATTTGAACAAGTTCAAGGCTTATTTACACAAATTTATTTTTACCACAAGACAAACATCTTCATCCAGCAACAAAGAAACCTTTCTATTGTTTCTATTGTTCTTTTGAATTTTCAGCATCATTACTCCAGTCTTCAGTGTCACATGATCCTTCAGAAATCATTCTAATATGCCGATTTGCTGCTCAAGAAACATTTCCTATTATTATCTATGCTGAAAACCGTTGTGCTGCTTCATATTTTTGTGAAACTGTGATACCTTTTCTGAAGATTTGAAATAGAAATCTTTCACATTATTCAGTAAATGTCCTAACTGGCACTTCTGATCAATTGAATGCATCCTCGCTTAATAAAAGTATATTTCAATCATGACAACTCTCGGAAGATTTTAGCATGGTGATGGATATGACAATGTTAATGTATTTGGTCTTGGCGGAATAGATCTGCTGCTGCTGAATTGCTGCTACTGTTGGTTATTGCTGTATTTGTAGATTATTGCTGCTGCTGCAAGCAAGTACAGGAACTTGCTTCTGCCAATGCATATGGCGATACGGTACCGTGAGTATTTAAGACATACTGCTGCTGCACAAATAGCATATAAAATAACCC